TATGACGATGTACCCTAGAGGAGGAGGGCTCTGAGGACAGAGGGTGGACCCTGCCCTAGAGGAAGGTGAGGGGCTTTGGGAATCCGCTGGAGGAAGGGGTGCACAGACTCCCGGGAGGGTGGAGAATTGGGCCTGGGGGCCTCCCAGCTCCTCCCATTTCCAGCTCTTTTCCTTCACTCGGCCCTCCCCACCATGCTGAATCCTCTGAAGTTTGATTGGGGCTTAAACTGGCTCTGGGGAAAATACAGATAAGTAATAAATAATTTTCTAAAACACCTTTAACCTCCAAGGTAACTCAAGAAACAGGAACCAAAATAATAGTGAGATAACTTGGAAAAGTTCTAGAGAAAGGACCATCATGGTCACTTGACCTTGTAAATGAGCACACCTCTATCTATTCATTTTTTTTTTTTTTTTTTTTTTTTGCGGTACGCGGGCCTCTCACTGTTGTGGCCTCTCCCGTTGCGGAGCACAGGCTGCGGACGCGCAGGCTCAGCGACCATGGCTCACGGGCCCAGCCAGTCCGCGGCGTGTGGGATCTTCCCGGACCGGGGCACAAACCCGTGTCCCCTGCATCGGCAGGCGGACTCTCAACCACTGCGCCACCAGGGAAGCCCCTGTCTGTTCACTTTTTTAACACAGGCATAAGTGGTTCAGATTTTTAATCTAAAACTCTGAAATAATAATTTTATGCCAACAGTAACAACATGTGCATCAGCATACTGGGTATTACAATGACCGTAACCGTTGTACAAAGGAAGAAACTTGAAGGTGTTTAAGTGGCCTGGTTAAGGTCACACAGTGGTAATACGGGCACGTCTGAAAGTCTGTGTCCCTCCAGTCACCCCAGGACCAGTGCCACCAGCAGTGGACCCTGGGGGGCTCTTGTCTGTCTGCGGGGCACCGACTCAGAGATGCCCAATGGGAGGGACACTTGTGGGCGGCTCACCGAGATGAAGGTCATCACTGTGTTGACCACGCTGGCACCCACTGTTACTTACGGGGAATGAGCCACCTCCATGCCAGCCGAGGGAGGCGTAGATCATGTCCGCGTAGTAGCTGACCTAACACAAAAGCCCAAGGGCTGTGAGGAGAGACCTGAAGGCTCAGGCCGTTGACAACCTTCCTGACTCTATAACACACAGTCCTGAAAGCCTAGGGGACCCCTTGGACAGGAAGGAGGCAGTAGGTGGGAGAAAAGAGCCGTGATCTGAAGACTTGAGACCTGGGATGGAGGCTGGCTCTGCCGGAGCCCGGGTTATAGCTCTTCCCCTCTCGGGGCCTTGAGTTCTGCATCTGTAAAATGGGACCCCGAGATTTTTCCCTCTGTCGCTTTGTTAGTCTATGATCTCAGGCCCCACAGAATGACCCCTCGCCTCTCATTCCAGATCCTAGGCAGCCCCAAACTCAGCTTCTCTCCTGGCCCAGCCCCAAGGATGTGGGCAATGCAGCACTTCCGAAAGCCACCACGTGCCCTGGCTCCTGCCTGGGCTGTGTACCACTCGACGTCTCCCGCTGAGCAACCGTGAGTCCCCGAGGGCCTGATGCCACCACTTCCTGACACTTTCCTTAAGCACCATATGGGTTACGCATCCAGTCTCCGACGTTTCTGGAAGCAGCCTCCCAGCCCTGTTTTTGCAGATCTTCACCCTTCGCCTACACCATCAATAGATACAATTATAGCAAAAGAACTGCGCATACCGCGTTGACCCTGGAGAGCTGCTGGCCAGCCATGGGCAAGACGGTGGAGACCAGCTGCCAGCGGACAGGCGGAAACGTGAGGAGGCTGAGCACAGACGGGCGGCCCTCGGCCCTCTCGGCCTGGTCCTCCGCGCGCATTCCTTCCATCTCGTCCTCCACAACTGCCCAGCCTCTCAGCTTCCGCAGAGCTGCGGGGAGCAGAGCGGTCCCCTCCTGCCGCTGACAGCAGCTGACCCAAGGCTTAGGGAAACACAGGGGGACAGCTCCCCAGGAGCTCGGCCCAGCCGTGGCCACAGGCTCCCCGTCTTCCCAGGGCAGGATGCTCATTGGACCCCAGCTGGGTCCCCACCACCGTGACCGTGTCCCCAGTCACAACCACACCCCCACCTGGGCAAGCTTGCAGAAGTCAAGGCCCACCAGCCATGATGCCGGCTCTGGCCATGTTCTCCACTGGACCACGCCCCAGAGCTGCCCTGGCCTCCCCAGTGCCAACGGCACCTCTGTCCCGTCCCACTGGCGCCTGCGTCGTGGAATGCATTTCCCCACCCTGCCCCCTGCCTGTTCTCTGCTTCGGGCACTAGGGGGGGATGTTTGGTCGGCACGGGGAGGCGGCTGGGAAGTGAGCGTGGTGGGAGGGTCTTGACGGAGCAGAGCCTGTATCTCCAGTACCTTGTCTAACTTCCTCATGTCTTTTCTTTTCTTTCTTTGCGGTTCGCGGGCCTCTCACTGTCGTGGCCTCTCCCGTTGCGGAGCACAGGCTCCGGACGCGCAGGCTTAGCGGCCATGGCTCACGGGCCCAGCCGCTCCGCGGCATGTGGGATCCTCCCGGACCGGGGCACGAACCCGCGTCCCCTGCAGGACTCTCAACCACCGCGCCACCAGGGAAGCCCTTCATCTCTTTTCTGAATCAGGGTGGACCTTGGGCTCTCAGGGAAGAAGGGCAGAGAGGGGAGCCAAAGCAGTGCGGGGACCCCTGTGAGTGCCAAGAGCACAGGCCAGCCTGGAAGGACCCAACACTGAGAACAGCCTGAACACCTAACACTGGGGAATCCCTGCCCTTCAGCTGACCTTCCGCATGTCCTGACTCTGTCCTGACTCTCTCCTCTTACAAACGCACTCACCCACATTGTTCCAGCCCTCCTAGGTCCTGGTGAGAGCCAAGGACAGCAGGGACCTAGTCCTTGCCAAGATGTGGCTGCCCAGAACCCACCCACAGTGGGGTTCCACATTTTAAAATGGAGAAAATAATTACAGTTTTCAAAAGATCTGCTGTTAACTCATTCTGCAGGAAAAGTGTTGCATTTCTTAGGAACAGCATATGATTTAAAAGTGTGAGCCTTGGAAAAAGTGAACCCATGTCTTGTTCCTAACTTTATGGCCGGAAGTGGCATAATCTCTGCCTTGCTGGAGGCTGGGGTCGAGGAGGGTGCTGGAACCAGCACTGTGGCTGTGTGAGGTTAAGGAGGCAGCATTGAGATTCATCTAAGTCTTACTAGCTATGATGGGAACTGGAAGAGGTATTTTACTTCTCTAAGCCTCAGTTTTCTCATCAGTAAAATAAAGATGATGATGATGATGATGGTGGTGGTGATAAAGTGTCCCCTGAGGAGTGGGGAGGGGTGACAGGCGTCGCACACTGGGCATCAGTACAAGGCAGCTGTTGGCAGCAACGGGCCCAGCCTGGCTTCCCCTTCAGCTGCACTGGGGTAGTTTGGGAATCGTTAAAACTAATGACCTTTCACTGAGCACGACTGGGTCCTGAGTCTCTTCAAGGTACTCTGGGGAATACAAAGTCATAAATCCACCCGTTAAGGAATTCCTGTGGAATTTAGGTAATTTGAAAATGTTTACAGGAAAAAAAAAATAAAGGATGAAACCCCACTGTGTTCTTGTGGGCCTTTAATGTTGGCATGCATTCAAGCCGCACTCTCGGGGCCATTCTCTTGCCCACTCCCCCAGAAGACCATCTCCCCCTTTCTCCTCTGTCCTAAAGCTTCCCTCCCGCTTCCCCAACCTGCCCTCTCAGGCAATGGCCTGGCCACCTTTCACTTGGAGAGTAGAAGCAACCAGAAGAAAACGTCTAGAGGAGCCACATCCACCCACGTGGCAGTGACCGTGGCTGTGTGCCTGCCCCTCCTGCATCAATTGCCCTCGCTGCACGACCATTCGCACAGCGTCCCAGCTGAAAAAACAAAGCAAGACAAAACACCCTTCTCTCCAGCCTGCTTCCCCTTCCAGCTACCCCCCAACTTCTCTCCTTCCTTGACAGCAAAACTCCCAAGAGTCGTGTGCGCCCCTTGTCTCCAATCTCCTCCCAGCCCCGTGCACAACTTGTCCCCATCGCTCACCCAGACTGCTCTCGTCAAGGTCACCCGTCTCCAAACAAGCCACACATTGCCCAACCCAAAGGGCACCTCTTGGCCTCACCTCACTTGATCCGCCAGACACATGGGCACAGCCGAGCCCCATGTGTCCAGACCCCGCCCCCTCGGCCCCCACATAGCTCCCACGCTCCCTCTCACCCCCACCCCCGGACCTTGGTGAGACACAGGTACCTGGAGGGTTGCCCAGGTTGGCTTGCAGGCCGAAGATCTGTGCTAGGAAGATTCCCACGCTGACAAACACCCCCGTCATTGTTCCCAGAGCACCCCTAAGGTTCTTGGGAGCTAACTCTCCCGGGTACATGGGAAGGGCATTGTAGGAGGTGCCTGGATCTAGCAAAACAAACACCAGGGGAGGAAAAAAGAAACAGTCCCAGCCTCCCCGGGCCCCGGAAACCTGAGATTTAATTAATCTCATAGTCCCTGAGTTTCTCTGTGGCGTCAGCACCACTGACAGGCAGCCTGTACACCCCCCACCTCCCCTCCACGGAGATGGAAATTGGCCACGTGGACTGTTTAGTTCGCACTAAGAGGGAAACCTTTCCAGAATCCTCAGACTCGCAGGGGACACGGCAGGATATCCTCTCCTTCCTAGCTGCGGAGCTGGGGCCACTTGTTACAGGCGAGGACTGTGTTCCTGGGATGTGGGACTGAAAGACAGGTCTTTGGTTTGGGATTATTTTCGGATTTTTCTGAAGCACAGGTTACTTGTATCACTTTTGTTTTTTTTTAATAGAAGAAACCACCATAGTTAAGAAACCTCAGTCCCCTGCTGACAGAGTCCCCAAATTCTGTACGCTTTTGCTTGAAGCTTCTCATCCTCAGTGTGAACTATACATATTCCTTGGAAGATACCCTGTAAAGCCTTATCAGTTTGTACCTCAACATAAACGTGTGTTTTTAAAGATCTTCCCCTGATAGATTTTGTTAAATAAGGGGAAGGGGAGAGAGAACATGAGGTTTTCGAGAGTCCGGGGATGGAGACAAGAGGATGCCCCCAAAGGGAAAAGAGCCATTCAGAACCAGGAAGACCCTTGCTGCCCCTGCTTCCAGCCTTGGCCAGTGGTGCTGGGTGTGTCTGACTCAGACCCTTCTCCCCGCTGACCCTGAGCACGGGCTTGGGGCTTCAGCCATCACTGTAGGTACCTGCACAGAATCCCAGTGCCACTCGAGAAAAGATGATCAGCTCGGAAGCTTTGGTCACTTTGCTGACTCCCTTCGGGATGGCAGGGATGGCGAAGACGTTGTTGATCAGCAGTGTTCCCTTTCTGCAAGGACAGCAGAGCCCAGTGGGCATGGGGGCTGAGGCAGCAGAAGCTCTCCTGACACCAACTCCTATTCTCCAGGGCAGCCGTTACAGAAATGCCGGGAACATGCCTGAGAAAGGCTGATGGCTGGGAAGCGCAGAAAGCAAGGACCAGTGGGCAGAGGCCCCAGGAAGGGAGGTTTGGGCTCAGCAGGGGTGGCGGGGGCAGTGGGAGCATGCTAACCATTGGAGCTGACTGAAGACAGTGGGGAAGGAGGAAGGAATGGGCCTGCCTCTGCAAGGAGGGAGCTTCCTGTCACTGGTGGTATTCAAGCAGAGAGTAGGCTGGATGAAGACTGTCAAGAATGGTGAACAGGGGAACCCCACAACAGGTGGGAGACAGAGCTGGATTGAATGATCGCTAAGATTCCTCCCAAGGCTGAAAAACCATGAGTCTATGAATGGGGGGAGGGAGTGTCTGAAAAATAGAACTACGCTGGATGCCCCTGCCTGTCTCCCAGGATCCATAGCTACCTTCCAGACTGTGTTCTGTGCCCCATGCTGACTGGCATCGGTGGCTCCCTTGCCCCCTCATCCCCACATGTGGCTTGGATTTTGCCAAAGGAGAAAACAGCAGTGGATCAGGAAGGAAGATGGTGGCCCAGATATAGGGTGGCTGCTGGCTGCACCACCCTTGGTGATCTCTCCACACGCTGCCCACATTCGAGGACCATCAGGGCCCTAACCGACACGGGTGCATCATCTCTGAGGCCAGGAGTGGAGGAGGGGGTATCTCTGAACAGAAACCCAGACACCCCTCCTGGGGGGGATAGTTCTAAGAGTTCTACAAAAGTCCCCTGCTAGGCAACACTGAGGACTCATCAGATACACAGACTGGTTTTCTCAGGCCACTTTTCTCTTCCTGGGGTGGCCATACCTCTGAGAGAACTGCCACCAAAGCCCAAACTCAGAGCAGAGGATCAGCCAGCCCAGAGGCTGCAGGTCCGGAGAGAAAAAACAGCCCACACGAACCCCTTCCTGATGACCAGGAAGCCTTAGCTTAGCTCAGGGCTGGTCCTGACCCCACTAGGGCAAGGCCAGCTCCACCGCACCAGCTGGTCTCAGGGTCCTCATCTGCAAAATGAGGGCAATGATGAAACCATCTCTGAGGTCCCAAGTTCTGTGACTCTGGGTTCAGACAAGGAGGTGGGGGCCAAGCTTCTAGAACAGTCCAATCACTCTTGGTGTAGCTGAGAACAGCACAATCTGAATTATAAAAAAGCCTGGATTATGGCATAATTGCAATATAGTTTGCAACAGTTATAATATATAGTTGCAATACAGTAATGTTGTTGCAACATATAGTTGCAATATAGTAATGTTTCCTTCATTCAAGTATACAACGAATGGCAAATTAATTGTTAATCAAGTATCTATAAGAAGAGGTCCTGTGAGTCCTGCTTTAATACATAATTAATTTTCAATTGCCAATATTTTCTTTGTGTTTTTGTTTGTTTTTGTTTGTTTGTTTGTTTGGCTGAGCCTTGCCATTTGTGGGACCTTAGCTCCCTGACCGGGGATTGAACCCCAGCTCTCGGCAATGAGAGCTCGGGGTCCTAACCACTGGACCACCAGGGAATTCCCCAGTATTTTCTTTTATGCATGAAAACTGAACTGCTATGGTTCTTTAAGAGCTAGTTTTCTTTAGAGGACTTCCCACTCCTCCCTACAAACTGCCAACCATGCACATCAAGTCCAAGTGTAACTGTGAATTCCAAAGAGTGAGATCTGGCCATATGGGATTCCGTGGGGCCTCACCCTGAAAACTTGGCTCACTCCCTTCCTTCCTGGGAACCTTGATCTGGACATCCCTCCTTATCTGCAGAGTCACGTCTTGGCAGCAACTGGGCTTCCGTGTAAAGATTAGTGAGTCTGTGTGAACCAAGCAAAGTATAAGAACTATTCTTCATTCTCAAACAAGACACAAGTCAGGGGCACGTGGACTGACTCGGTCTGAACCCCAAAGCTCAGAACAACACGGATGAGGCTGCACGGGGAGAGGCTGCAGCTGTTACAACTTGGAGCCATGGGTCACCTGACCTCGAATTAAACCCAGTCAACAAGCATTTATTGAACACCTGCTAGAAGTGCTGAGTATGGTCAAGACTTTGCTCTCAAAGGTTGATCCACCTCCATGGGGTGGACAACAGAGGGGCTGCTGTTCCCGTGCAGCTGACAAGGGGAAGAAATCCCAAGGAATTCAAGGACTTGCTTTAAGGTCAGGATGTCTATGGCAAAGTGGGGGCTGGACTTCAGGCCTCCTGAATTTCAAAGTTGCGCAACTCCCCACCACGTGCACAAATGCCAAGACACAACATGCTTTACTAATATCAATTTTGAGTGACAGCAGCACCCTTCTTCTTTACTTGCCACATTTGTCAACCAGCAGGCCAATAAGCAAGAACTCCACCGAGACGCCCAGAGGAGACATGAACATGGTGCAGGACCACAGCAGCAGCATGACTTTCTCGTCCATGAAGGCTCCATGTCGCTCAAAGTAGGTTTCATTATAAAAGGACTTCAAGACCTGGAAGACATTGCCCCATCCACAGACAATCAGGCAACTCATGACAGATCAAGAGATAATGTTCTCATTTGCCCCTGGTCATTGTCCTGAAGGATGTGTCTATCAATACCCTCAGGACACAATTGATTCTCTGTTGTTACCTGGAGATAAAAACAAAAAAGCCTACAATATGATGGGGTGAGATGAGGAACCAGACTGCTCAAAATGTTAAAAATTCACTGTTGGGAATTCCCTGGTGGTCCAGCAGTTAGGACTCCAAGCTTCTACTCCAGTGGGTGTAGGTTTGATCCCTGGTTGGGGAGCTAAGAACCCACATGCCGAGTGACATGGCAAAAAAAAAAAAAAAAAAAAAAAAAAAAAAAAAAAATTGCAACCTGTGCAAGAGGCAACATAAGAAACATTGTTACTTCAAGACAGTCTGGTACCGGCACAAAGACAGAAACATAGATCAGTGGAACAGGAGAGAAAGCCCAGAGCTAATCCCACGCACATATGGTCACCTTATCTTTGAGAAAGGAGGCAAGAATATACAATGGAGAAAAGACATCCTCTTAAGTAAGTGGTGCTGGGAAAACTGGACAGCTACATGTAAAAGAATGAAATTAGAACACTCCCTAACACCATACACAAAAATAAACTCAAAGTGGATTAAAGACCTAAATGTAAGGCCAGACACTAAACAACTTTTAGAGGAAAACATAGGCAGAACACTCTATGACATAAATCACAGCAAGATCCTTTCTGACCCACCTCCTAGAGAAATGGAAATAAAAACAAAAATAAACAAGTGGGAGCTAATGAAACTTAAAGGCTTTTGCACAGCAAAGGAAACCATAAACAAGATGAAAAGACAACCCTCAGAGTGGGAGAAAATATTTGCAAACGAAGCAACTGACAAAGGATTAATCTCCAAAATATACAAGCCCCTCTTGCAGCTCAATATCAAAAAAACAAACAACACAATCCAAAAATGGGCAGAAGACCTAAACAGACATTTCACCAAAGAAGATATACAGATTGCCAGGAAACCCATGAAAGGATGCTCAACATCACTAATCATTAGAGAAATGCAAATCAAAACTACAATGAGGTATCCCTCACACCGGTCATAATGGCCATCATCAAAAAGTCTACAAACAATAAATGCTGGAGAGGGTACGGAGAAAAGGGAGCCCACTTACACTGTTGGTGGGAATGTAAATTGATACAGCCACTATGGAGAACAGTATGGAGGTTCCTTAAAAAAACCAAAAACAGGGCTTCCCTGGTGGCACAGTGGTTGGGAGTCCACCTGCCGATGCAGGGGACACGGGTTCGTGCCCCGGTCTGGGAGGATCCCACATGCCGCGGAGCGGCTGGGCCCGTGAGCCATGGCCGCTGGGCCTGCGCGTCTGGAGCCTGTGCTCCGCAGCGGGAGAGGCCACAGCGGTGAGAGGCCCGCGTACCGCAAAAAACCCCCCAAAAAACTAAAAACAGAACAACCATACGACCCAGCAATCCCACTACTGGGCATATACCCTGAGAAAACCATAATTCAAAAAGAGTCATGTACCACAATGTTCATTGCAGTTCTATTTACAATAGCCAGGACATGGAATCAACCTAAATGTCCATTGACAGATGAATGGATAAAAAAGATATGACACATATATACAATGGAATATTACTCAGCTATAAAAAAAAAAACAAAATTGAGTTATTTTTAGTGAGGTGGATGGACCTGGGGTCTGTCATACAGAGTGAAGTAAGTCAGAAAGAGAAAAACAAATACTGTATGCTAACACATATATATGGAATCTAAAAAAAAAAAGGTTCTGAAGAACCTTGGGGCAGGACAGGAATAAAGACGCAGATGTAGAGAATGGACTTGAGGACATGGGGAGGGGGAAGGGTAAGCTGGGACAAAGTGAGAGAGTGGCACTGACATATATACAACTACCAAGTGTAAAACAGATAGCTAGTGGGAAGCAGCTGCATAGCACAGGGAGATCAGCTCGGGGCTCTGTGACCATCTAGAGGGGTGGGATAGGGAGGGTGGGAGGGAGAAGCAAGAGGGAGGAGATATGGGGATATATGTATATGTACAGCTGATTCACTTTGTTATACAGCAGAAACTAACACACCATTGTAAAGCAATTATACTCCAATAAAGATGCTAAAAAAAAAAAAAAGAAATACTGTTACTAATTGTATGACTTTGGGCAAGTTCTACCTCTTTAAGTCTTAGTTTCCTCCTTGGTTATAGAAATAATATATATCCAATAGAGAATTTAAGAGCTTCACTGTGATATAGTGATGGTACATTGCTTGCCTGAGAAAAAAATGTTCCTTCAATGGTAATAATGATAAGTATATTAATATAAGCCATGAGCAACTACTGCAGTACCTCCTATAAAGCAGAATTAAGTGTAGCTATAAAGTAACGACAGTGATTTTTAAAAGTAGAGCAGGACTCATACACCCAATGAATGGGAACAGACACTGGGTCCTGTCCTTGCCCTTTCAGGGACCTTCTTCCTGTAACTGTTCCCTGTCTGTCCTGCATCACTTGTTCATTTTTTTTTTTTTTTTTTTTTTTGGCCACGTGGCATGGCTTTTGGGATTGAAGCTTGTGGACCCAGGTTCAATCCCTGACCTGGGCCCTTCACAGTGAAAGCACCAAGTCCTAGCCACTGGACCACCAGAGAATTCCCAATACACCTTTCTTTATTGCATCCTTCTCATCACAATACAAACATGACTCTTGCCCTATAAAACCCTAACACAACCCCCCTTCTCCCTTCACTAAGCTTCATTTTATGTTCCCCTGTACAGCAAAACTCCTTAAAAAGCTGTCTCTCCTCCACTCTGCCCATTCTCCCCAAACCCACTCCAGTCAAGCTTTTGTCTCAACTCAGCTGCTCTTGTCAAGGTCATGCATGCCCTCCATGAGGTCAAAGCCAGTGGTCAACTCTCACACTTCATCTTTACTCGTCATCAGGGCCTGTCCCTCTCTCCTGACTCACATGCTTTACTAGGCCTTTGGGAGACTCTTTTTCCCTTTGCTTCCCCTCACCCCAATCCCAACCCCTAAGGGTTTAGTCCTTGACTCCATCCTCTTTGTCATCCGCAAGTGATCTTCCCAGGGGAAAGGCAGTGAGACTAAGGCCCAAAGCGACTGGGCAGGGAATCCAAGCCCATCTCCTCCCACCCCCTTCCCAATGTGCCTGGAAAGGATGACACTGCGGGGCGGGGGGTGGGGGTGGAGGGGAATAGCCCACAACTCTAGTCATTCCCTGGTCTGCAGAGGCCTCCTCCCAGGGCTACTAGAGGAAGGCAGCTCCTTCCTGAAAAAAGCTGGTGGCTTCCGGAAGAAAGATGGCGGCCTCCACAGAGCAAGATGGCCGCCTTCTCCCGCCCACCTCTTGCCCACCCACCTTGCGCGGTGTGTTAACCACAGCGATGTTGCAGCCGTATTAGAAGGCCTCGCCAAAGGCTGTGCTCAGCGTCGCCAGCACCAGCGTGGATTGGAGGCGCTGCGGGAGAGGAGGTTTATGGTCAGGGACTGGGAGGTTAGTCCTGGGAACTTCTGGAAGTGGGGCCGAGGCTGGGCTGGAAGTGGGGGTGGAGGACCCCAGGCCATGCCCAGGGGAGTGGGGAAGGTGCCGGAGCCTGGGGGGAGTGGATGGCATCATTTCCTGTTCCTTGAACGCATCCCCCTCCTTAAAGATACATCTATGTGTCTCCTCTGGGCCTGGCCCTGGATGAAGCAGAGGAAGCTTCAGGAAAAAGGTCCAGCGCACTGTGACCCTGAGGAGCTTACATTCTAGTGAGGGGAGGCCAACAAAACAAAACAAAAACAGACAAGTACGAGACCTCCAAATAACGATAATGTTATGAGGACAATAAAACAGGTAATGGGATAGAAGCCAATGGGGGACAGAGGAGGGGGCTCTCTGAGCAGGTGCCTTTAAGCTGAAACCTGAAAGGATGAGGTGGGCCTGTGAGCTGCTGGGGGAGGAGTTTTCAGACAGAGGAAGCAGCAAACAGAGGCATGGCTTGCCTTTCACTCCTGGACAGGCCCTGGGGAAAACCAAGGCAATCACGTTTCCATGGCTACCGCAGCACCTGGGGTAGTTCCCGTGAACTAGCCCCCGGGCCAAAGTCTGAGGAGGGGCCAGCAGAACTGGGGCTGGGTCTGTGGCTGCCTGAGTCGGTGCCAACCAGGGCTCCAAGAAGCCAGCTGGTACAGAGCCATGGCCCCAGACCATCCCCCCACCCTTCTGCTTGCCTGTTACCTGTACCTCTGACCCCCACCCCACCCCCACTATCTGCCTGACTGCCGACAGCCCTCAGCCCTGTGCAGCCAGCAAACCAGCCCGGCAGACAAAAGCAGGATTTGGGCAACTTCAGAGGCTGGGGGAATAGGACGGGGACAGGGGTCTCCCACACTTCCCTAGAGCTGGACTTAATCCCTCCTCTCTTGTGTCTGAGCTGGGATGTTTGGGGAAGCTGCTTCCCCCCACTGCTCTCCCAGGGCTGGTGGCTCCCCAGGAAAGTCAGGGGCAGTGTTGTTCTCTCCTTGCTAGAAGCATTTCAGGGGTCTTCCCCTCCCTCCACAGTGCCCTCACCTGGTGGCAAAGGGACAGTGGCAGTGACAGTTTCCTAGACTTGGCACTTAGCCCTTCCCTGGGGTGGGGTGGGTGGAGGAGTCCCTGCCCCTTTTTTTCTCCGTCCTTGTTCAGCGGAGAAACAGGTGTGCTCTGCCTCCCAAGTGACACCTGGGTCCTGCTCTGTGTTGACAGCCTGGGGCCTGTGAGACTTTACTACCCTTTTGGTCTCTGGACCCTGCTGACTTTCCCCAGGAGAATATTTTCCTTGGACGCAGTTGGTAAGATAAAGATTCACACTCAGCGTGAATTTTGTCTTTGTCTCCAACAAGTCTCAAACCAGAAACTCTCTGGTTGCACAAAGGAGAAGAAAAACGCCACCTGCCCTGGGTCCCTAAAAATGAGGTGTCTTGGAAACCAAGTCGGGCCTGATTTCCGGGATCCTTTATGCGTCTCCTGTGTTATCTCTCCATCTGTGCTTCCTCTTACGAATTTGGACTAATTGTCCATTTGGGGGAAAGAGCAAACTAAACGCTTTTAAAGAGATACAACTTAGTTATTTCTACTTACACTTATTAGTATTAAATAAGTCAATAGGGCTTCCCTGGTGGCGCAGTGGTTGAGAGTTCGCCTGCCGATGCAGGCGACATGGGTTCGTGCCCCGGTCTGGGAGGATCCCGAGTGCCGCGGAGCAGCTGGGCCCGTGAGCCATGGCCACTGAGCCTGCGCGTCCGGAGCCTGTGCTCCACAGAGGGAGAGGCCACAGCAGTGAGGCCCGCATACCGCAAAAAAAAAAAAAAAAAAAAGTCAATAAAATATTGAACAAAAAAAGTGCTTATTTCAGAATTATCACTATTAGGAAGAGAAATATCATATGATATCACTTATATGTGGAATCCAAAAAGAAATGATACAAATGAAGTTATTTACAAAACAGAAACAGACTCAGAGACTTAGAGAATGAACTTATGGCTACCAGGGGGGAAGGGTGGGGGAAAGGGATAGTTAGGGAGTTTGGGATTGACATGTACACACTATTATATTTAAAATGGATAACTACTGATCTATATTTCTATCTTTGTGCCAGTACCATACTGCCTTGATTACTGTAGCTTTGTAGTATAGTCTGAAGTCAGGGACAGATGAATGGATAAAGAAGATGTGGTATATGTATATAATGGAATATTACTCAGCCATAAAAAAATGAAATTGGTCATTTGTAGAGATGTGGATGGACCTAGAGTCTGTCATACAGAGTGAAGTAAGTCAGAAAGAGAAAAACAAATTTCGTATATTAACACATATATGTGGAATCTAGAAAAATGGTGCAGATGAAGTTATTTGCAGGGCAGGAATGGAAAGGCAGACGTAGAGAACAGACGTGTGGACATGGGGGAGGGGGAGGGTGGGATGAATTGGGAGATTAGGTTTGACATAAATCCACTACCATGTGGAAAACAGTTAGCTAGTGGGAACCTGCAGTATAGCACAGGGAGCTCAGCTCGGTGCTCTGTGATGGCCTAGTTGGATGGGACGGTGGGGCCTGCTGTATATAGCACAGGGAGCTCAGCTCGGTGCTCTCTGATGACCTAGATGGGTGGGATGGGGGGGAGGGAGGTCCAAGAAGGAGGGGATGTGTGTATGCATATGGCTGATTCACTTCACTGTATGGCAGAAACAAACACAACATTGTAAAGCAATTATACTCCAATAATAAAAATAAAAATAAAATAAAATGGATAACCAACAAGGACCTACTGTATAGCACAGGGAACTCTGCTCAATGATACGTGGCAGACTGGATGGGAGGGGAGTTTGGGGGGAAATGGATACACGTCCATGTGTGGCTGAGTCCCTCTGCTATGCACCTGAAACTATCACAACATTGTTAATCGGCTGTACTCCAATATAGAATAAAAAGTTAAAATAAAGTAAATAAAAAAAGGAATTATCTATATTAGCAAAACAAAAAAGTAGGGAATAACTGGATAAATTATGACAAATCAACTGGAATGCCAGGCTGCCATTTCAAGGGATAATTATGAAAATTACGTAGGGACATGGAGACATGTTATGAACGTCATGTTAGGTGACTAAAGCAAAATGCACTTGTGTGCCTGGGTAAAAACGTGTTGGCACATGGACACCAGCCATGACGGCCACCGGGATAAGAGAACGCGGGGGCCTTATTTCTCCTAATGGGCTGCTCATGACAATTTAGGTATTCTCGAAAGTGCTACATGTTTTGTCTGCTGTGCCCCTCATCCCTTCTGAGGCCTTGCTAGCAGTGTGTTAACTCTTGGGAAAGGCCTGGGCCCGGGACACTTCCCTACCAAGACATGAAGAGCCCTCACGGCCTGTGCTGGGCTTTTCACCCTGGGAGGGACTATCTTTCCGTCTCAGGCTCAGTGTGCGCTCCAGGGTTCTGCTTAAAGCACATTCAGCAGTGGCCAAAGGCAGGCCCCCAGCTTCTGTATTTCAGCCCTCACGGGGTGGCGGGGGGGAAGGTGGGGTCCTCCCACGCAGCACAAAGTGGGGCGTGTGCAGCCTCCAGGGCTGTGCGCATCCACTGGCTGTGGGGTGGCGGATGCTTTGCCGGGAGCTGGATCTGGCACGCGCTCTCTCTCCTCTTTTGCAGTAACTAGACGCTGTACCACTTGAGCATGGTGTGTGAGTGGTCTGTCCTCAGCAACCTTGAATCATGCACTCATCTCTCTCCTGGGGGGCACCTCCCTGCCTTTTAACCTTGGCTGCACAGCCTGGTCCCCAGTGAGCAGTGAAATGTTAACATTTCTATTTCTACCACGTCTGTCCAAGGCCATCTAGGCTTTTTCTATCATGTCCCTGAAAGTTCTTCCAGCCTCTTCCCATTGCCCCATGCCAAAGCCACTTCCATATTTTTAGGTATTTGTTACAGCTTCCCCTGCTTCTCAGCACCAAGATCTGTATGAGTTTCCTGTGACCACTGTAACAAATTACTACACATTTAGTGGATTAAAGCCACACAAATGTATTACCTGACAGTTCTGGAGGTCCTAAGTCTGACAAGGGTCTCGGTGGGCTTAAATCAAGGGGTCGCCTTTCTGGAGGCTGTAAGGAAAGGCCATTTCTCTGCCTTTTCCAGCTTCTAGAAGCCTTCCTCCATCTTCAAGGCCAACAATATCAGGCTGAGTCTTCCCATGCTGCCGTCTTTCTGGTTCTTCCTGCCCCCTGCGATTACACTAGTCCCACTTGAATAATCCACAGCAGTCTCCCATCTCAGGGTTAGCAGACCACAGTTATCTCTGTTTGTTCCTAAAGACTCTCGAATGCTAGCCCACTCCATCTTTCCACTTTATCAGCTGAATTCTGTATCCTTTTGGCAGAAATCACAATACCTAGTCACAATGCTTACAGTCTAATAACATTGATTCAACACTGTATGCCTCCCCTCCTTTCTCTGAGTCAGTCGCGGCAACCAAGTCAAGCTGATGGCAAAACCAAGCTCCTTCCTGCTGTTCCTTCTGCTTGAAACATTCCCCGCCCCCCCAGGTCTCAGGTCAAATGTCACCTCCTTGGGGAGGTCCTCACTAGCACCGCCCTTTTGAAAGTAACCCACATCCCTCACCCGGCACTCTCTACCACTTTCCCCCGAGCACTATCTGAAATGACCTCCAGTATTTGCTTACTTGTATTCTTGACCATTGGATCCATTACATCCACTGGCTGGCACAGAGTAGGTGCTCAACAAATATTTGTTGAATGAATGAGTGTCCTTGATTCATGATGCTCCCTCCTCCACTACCCTCCAAACACCTTATCCTCCCTTGCTATACAAATGTCACCCATTCTTAGAGGCTCAGCTCACCACATTTTCCTTGAAGATCACTCCAGGTCACGTCCATTCAGTCAACGTTTACTAAGTGCCAACAAGTGTCAAGCTCCTAGTCAGGCATTGGAGCTGCTCGGATGGTTAAGACAATGTTCAGAGCAGACTCAAAACTAGATACAGCAGTCTTCTATCAATTCTTATTGCCCCATAATTCCCACTTGCATGTGGTTTGCATCTTCCTGCCTAGATTGTAAATTCCTTGAAGACAGCAGATGCAATATAGGCAACTCTGCCGTGTCCCAGTGCTGAGCTGGATGTTGGGTGACCGGAGAGCCCTCAGCAGCACTTGATCAGCTGGTTAAGGAATAACAGGGGAGGGGAGGAAGAGGAACCATCCATGGGTAAGAGAACCAAATCACCACGCACTTTTACGATGAAACCCATGCAAGTGAGGGTCAGAATGGCAGCCACCATTTCTTCCTCTGGGAACTGAGGAACCAGCCCTCGAGGAAGCTGATTGAAGATGGCAAGACTCTGTGTCACTTTCATTCCAAAGTGGGACTTCAGACTCTGCCCTCCAAGCTCTTCCATAACAAACATCGCCAGTGTTGCTGCCCTCCCATTCCTGAAGTCTGTCTGCTGCTGGTTAAGTGACATCAGGACAGAGGGCAATGTAGTGAGGTTTCCACGAAGAAAAATCTATTCAATTTAAAGGACTGAAATTTACTCTGTGGTCACATCCTCCCTATATAGTAAAATGCCCTTTCTTTTAAATCATCTACTTCTCATTATGATAGTAGTTGAGAGTTATTATTATTATTTTAGGTTTTTTTTTTTTTTCTTTTGGCCGCACCACGCAGTGTGGGATCTTAGTTCCCTGACCAGGGATTGAACCCACACCCTCAGTAGTGACGGCATGGAGTCCTAACCTCTGGACCACCAGGGAATTCCCTATTTTAGGTTTTTACTTACAAAATAAAAAGTAGGCAGCCCAACGCTAGTTCACCCAGTTTTGGTCTGTGAAATCCAGAAGTGTGGAAACCACTGGTGAAAGCTACCTGCCTCGTGGGATTATGAACGTGTTGCCTTGGGGCTGGCAACTCCTCCAATTATGCTCTCCCTATATCAGCTCAGCCTCACGCTGCTCTGCTCTCTCTCTTAAAATCCTCCCGGCCAAGACTCATCGATTCAAAACAGCACCCAGTGAGCCCTGCTGTGTGCTCTTGGCACTGTGGATACAATAGCAGCGAACAAACAGGGTCTGTAGCCCCTCACCGCCATCTCTCTCACTTGCTAACTGCCCTGACCTTGACTGACCTTGATCAGCATCCATGGACCTCCCATTTCCTGACATTTTCTAATGGAGTGGCTCTTTAAATTGCAGATCAGATCAGAATTGTCTGACCCAAGTCAGCCAGTGACTTCCCCTCACGTTCAGAATAAAATCCCCAATCCTCCCGGTGGCCTGCTGAGTCTCTGCCAGCTACCTCCTTCCTTTCCCTTTCTGCTGCAGCCGGTCCACCGACCTCTCCTCACTCCCGAGCTGCGGCCAGCCCTCTCTCACTTCAGGACGTTTGCACCAGGCCGGTGCTTGTGCAGATTCTGTTGTGGCTGCCCCCTCCCTCCCTCAGGGAGGCCTTCCTCCCCCTCCCTGGAAAACAGCCGTTCTCCACCTGTCACCCTCACGCTACACGATCTTTCTTTACCGCACCTCTCACTCAGTGACATGGTTTTCTTCACTGTTGCAGCCCCAGTGCCTGGAACACAGTAGATGCTTGATAAGTATGTGTGTTTCCCCCAAATCTACATCCTTGCTCTTCTGGCTTCAGAGCCATACAGTCAACTTCCTTCTAGATGTCTGCTGTGTGTTCCGTGAGCTTCCCCATCTCAACAGGTCCAAAACTGTTAGTCTTCTCCCAAAACCTGCCACTCAGCTCCCCAAACCATTCGCCATTGGCCCCTGTTAGAAACTGGGCAGGTATGCCAGATGCCTCACCTACAGTGGCCGAGGGCCCCTAAATCCCACCAAGTCTCTCTGAATTCTCCCTCACTTCTCGGCCTCACCACTGCTGGCTTTGCAGGGCCCTTATTATTTCTCACCAATAGGTCTCCCTCCCCAAGTCCTGCCTGGTCTTCTTACTGCAACCGCACTCTCTGAAACTCAACGGTCACGTACCACCAGGTTTATCTTTTCTTTTTTGGCTGTGTTGGGTCTTTGTTGCTGCGCACGGGCTTTCTCTAGTTGCGGCGAGCGAGCAGGGGCTACTCCTCGTTATGGTGCGTGGGCTTCTCATTGCGGTGGCTTCTCTTGTTGCGGAGCACGGGCTCTAGGCAGGCGGGCTTCAGTAGTTGTGGCACGTGGGCTCAGTAGTTGTGGTGCACGGGCTTAGTTGCTCCACCATGTGGGATCTTCCCGGACCTGGGATCGAACCTGTGTCACCTGCATTGGCAGGCGGATTCTTAACCACTGCGCCACCAGGGAAGTCCCGCCACCTTTATCTTGAGGACAAGGTTCAGGCTCAGTGTGGCTCACAGAGACCTACAGAATCTAGTTCGGGCTTTCTGGCTTCACATTCACACAAAGCTACCTGGCGTTCCCCTCAAACCCTCTCATCTCTCTGTGCTGTTCGTCACCTGGAATGACCGTTCTTCTCTTTCCTACTGCATTTTCTCCTGGAGAAATCCTTTTTGTCTTTCCTAATTCCCCATCTTCCTTCTGTGCAACCATAGCACCAGGTCCACCTTTTTATCCTCCTGTTGTATTTTACCAACCCATGTAAATTCACATATCTATAAATATTTCTATGTGTAGCCACCCGTGTCTATATTCAGCTGAACAATATCTCCAACTCTAGTCTATTACCACATGGATCATTCTAGACTCTCTCTCTTGGCTTATCTGTAATTTCCCACTGCAACAGTGAGATGGTTCCCAGCATCTGCCATCCACTTACTTGTTTAATCCCAGTATTCATGTATAGTGAGGTCTCTCACTGTATTTTACCTGTGTGCTTGTCTACAAGATCAACATTCACTCCCAAGCGCTTAAAAATAACTAAGTGCTTAATACACACCGGGCACTGATCTAAAAGCTACAAGCATAGAAGTTAATTCTCATAACCAACCATGTGAGGCATTTACTATTAGCTCAACCAAAAAGGGAACTGAGGTACAGAAAAACCAAATAAGTTGCCCAAGTCGCTCAATTACTAAGTGGCAGAACTATGGTTGACCCCAGAGAATAGACCCACAGAATCATGAACTCCAGAGCCTCCCCTGGGTTAGAGGCGCTGCAGGTAACGTGAGCTGAATTAATAATGCCACAGTCCCTTAATTCTGACATTCTGGCCTTACTGTTTCTCAGCACTGCGAGCTGCCGTCTATGGTTGTTTTCTGTGCCCCCTCACACTGTAGGTCCCTGTGGCAGAAGGTAAGGATGGTTCAATCACAGGATTGTCTAGGCCTTCACTATATTTGTAAGTCATGGAATTCACCACCTGGGGAATCCCCATTCCACCCCCAAGAAAGCTGCTCCCAACCCCACCTCTGTCCCACCCGGCCCCTGGCCTCTGCCTCCCTAACTCCCAGGAGAAGATTTCACATCCTGTCAGAAGCCTTTCAGCAGGTGGTCCCTCCACTTCCCTTCCTACGCCTCAGTTTTCTCCACCTTTTTGTACACACCCTCTTCACACACACACCCCTCTACGAAAGCCTCTAGCTCTGCTGTGTGTGTGTAGGGGGCACTGCCTCTTTCTCCCGACACCCTTTCCTGTCCACCTTCAGGGACCCTCGGTGTTTGCTATGCACCTGAACACATGCAGAGGCTTCCCCAACCTTAAATCTTAAAAATCTCAACTTTGAGACCACCTCATCTCTCACTCCTCCCCTTCTTTCTTTCAGCAAATATCGTCTGAGCGGCCTCCTCCACGCCAGGTTCTTTCAGGCAGTGGGGATTCGGGGATAAACAAAACCGGCCAAACCCCTGCCCTTATGGGGCTGACACTCCAGTGCAGCCAAGCTGTTTGAAGGAGTAGGGAATGCCCCCCACCTTCCACCGGCTCACAGAAAAGCAGCACATCTTGGTGAAAAGCGATCATATTTGTTTTATTGAATATACAGAGGCAATTCTATTGTCCTCTAATAATATAATTTGGGAACAATAATCTCTGACTTGGTTAAAGTCTCCATAGGGACCTGCTTCCCAGATTCCTAGACATCATTACTCGTGACATCATACTTTTCAAAACTAGTGTTTCTGGAGATGGATCTGACAAAAGGATGGATTCCACCCTGAACGTGGGCCCGTGGCCCCCGGAAGACTACGGGTTTCTTTGGCCACGTTTGATTCCTTCCGTCTCAACACCACGGTAATGGCTTTCATTATAAGAGCCGGTGTTGCCAGGAGCCACACGATGGCTGACTCAGCATGGTTGAGGGACAGCTGCCCGGCATGCCTTGGGGTTGGTGATGGGTCAACCTGGAAAGAGACAGCCTGGCTTTAAGAACTGCACAGAAGCCCTTACGACAGTCCCATCAGGGCCTGCTTTCCACACCGGACTTATCCTAGTTCTGGATTCATAGCCCAGGAGGGAAGCTCCACGCAGACCTGATTAACAGGCTCCTCCTCTCGAGTTACTGCCCCGCAGTAGAGGGTGGGAAGTCCTTTAGCTCCTCCTTTTCTGGGTGCACCTCTGACACTTTGTTCATCTTGGTGAAGATCTGATTGATTTCTATGAAGGTCTTGGACTTGGTCTCGGGGACAACCAGGAAGGTGTAGATGGTGGTGAGAACACATATCACGGCAAAAATGATAAAGCTGTAAGCTCCGAGGCCCACCTGTGGGAGGGGAGAGGGTTCACGTTCTTGAAAAGGTTATCGATTTACTGCTTACTTTGGGCCTCTGGGGCCCCTGGGTCACACTTACTTGAATGAATGGGAAAATCAGGCCCACAGTGAAGTTGGAGAGCCAGTGGACACTGCCCCCCACCATGTAGGCGGCCGGCCGGGAGGACTGCAGGAAGATCTCGGTGACGAGCAGTGAGGGGATAGGACCTGGGAAAGAAGAGGAAGAGCTGTCTTCCCTGCCGGCCGAGCAAAGCCCACGGAGGGTCCTGGAGCCCCTGCCCGTGCAAGGCTCCAGAGGCATCCGGCCCAAGGCAGAGTAGTGTGTCTCCAGGACTCCTGGTCTCGTGGAGAAGCGCTGTGAGAAGCCACCTAGCAAGAGTCGGGCACAACAGGCGACATCCTGTGATGTCCCTAAAGGGGGCCCATGACCACCTGTAAGGCTCTCTGTGCCGACCACACGGGCACCGTGCTCCAGCCTACACAGGCTGCTTTACTGTCCTCGCTCAAAGCCCTCTGCCGCAAGAACACAGGCAGAGAAGCCATTTGGGCCGAATTCGCCCCTCCCTGGAGCCTCTCTAAGGAGCTCAGGCCAACAGTTTCTAGGGCTGGTGGTACAGGAGGGGGCAGTGAAACCACAGAACCAGCTCTGGGGTACATACTGGGCCCAAGGGCATGTCCTATGACATAGGAGATGACGCAGGCGATGCTGACGTAGGGCATCCAGGATATTGTGTCCTGTGGGGAGAAAACAGAGTTGGATCACACCTGGCAAAGCGGAGACAACCTGGGACAGGAGCGTCAGGGCTCTCGGTTCCCGGAGGGCCAGTAGCTCTGCCTGGGTTGGGAAGGCGGGCGCCAGGCACCTCCTTCTACAAGCAGCGCCACCTGGATGCCCCTGGAATACCGGCTGGGAGCGGGCAGTGCGCTGCTGGGGCGGGGATCGGGGCTGCACGGGAGCCCCAAGGAGCGGGCTCGCGCATGCGCACGAGGGCGCAAGGCCCCCAGGCGCCCCCTTCCTCACCTGCAGAGCCAGGGCGGCCGTCAGCGCGCAGCAGGCGGTGCCGCAGGTGGAGAAGCCCAGGAGGAGCAGGGCTCTCCTCCCCAGGAGATCCACCACGGAAACCTGGAGGGAAAGGGCGAGGAAGCACGGGAGGCTCAGCAGGCCCACCTCCCCTGTGCGCCCGCCCGCGTGTGTCCCTGAATGGCCAGCGGGCCTCCGCACTGCGCAGTCCAGGGGCCTCATTTGTCACGCGGTGGCCCTGGCACAGGCAGTGGTCCCCAGTGTGAGACGTTAGAGAAGAGCCACCTCTCATGGCAGTAGCTTCCGGAGTGGACGGTGGGGACGGGTCTCCATCTTTGGGGCCACAGGCTACCGCCCC